TCTCTGTGGACAAAGCATTGGAACTCTCTTACCCAGTCCACTGGATCAGCTATGCAAATTTAAAATTGTGAAGTGGGAGTCATTGTGACACCCTCCAAAACTCAGTCTCATGTCAAAACACAGCACATACTTGATTAGAAGCCAGACACATTCATCCTGAAATTGCTGCAGAGTGACTCTGTGAGTTTATGCAAATTTCTTCCCTTCCTTCACTGGGCTTTGAGTTCTCAATATTTCCAGTTACTCTTGCCGCGCTCGGATAGTTCCTCGGACACTCTGGGACCTGCCGACCATCTCTCGCTAGTTTCCCAAGTGTGGTCTCTTCTCCAGTCTGCACACTTTTTCTTATTCAATTCCACCAGTGCCCAGGCCAGGGTGATGATATCATTCCTGCTCCTCTCTCCCCAGCCCACCCCCCTTGCTAGAGAAGAGCAGCCGGCATTAGAGACAGAGAGACTTGGGAGACAACAGAGTCCCCACCACTGATAGAACAGCCTCGGGCAACTTCTTTAAACTCAGTGACTCAGTTTTCACCTCTGTGAAATGGAGATACTAATAATAGGAACTCACAGGGCTTACTGGGCCCTAATCATACAGAGTGAATTAATTGCATCAGTTCCAAATATTATCCTTTCCCTCCCTCCTTATCTCTCATTTGTTGATTTATTATTATAACATTTGCATTCTTGAAGGGAACTTGACTTCTATTTGTACCCACATATTTTTTCCCCCTAGTGACACATTCAGTAGGAAGACATTAGTGGTCCAGCCCATGGCATTTGGGACCCAGGAAAAGGGCCTGGAAGCGGCTTCTAGGTTTCCCACAGGTAAAGGGGGGTGGCAATACTGAGGCCAAGGGCCCAGGATACCTTTCAGCTGAGCAGGGTGACGGCACTGAAAGGAGCATCTGCTGCCAAAGGTGGTGCCCTCAGGACAGGAGAAGGAAGCGGCATAGACGTGGTGGTGGTCTGGGGCGCCGCAGTCCACGGGCTCACACACCACCTGCTTGCTCCACTTGCCCTCTGTGCAGGTCACCGTGACGCTGGGTCCCACCTGAAAGACAGAGACAGGAGCAGTGAGGGACAGCCAACCGGACCCTGGGTGTGGGAAAATACCCTACTCTCCCAGGTGACAACGGAGTCTTGTCCAGAGACCGGAGACCAATGTTTAGCAGTGAGTGTTCGCTCAGGTGAACAATCTCCCCCACTGGGTGGATTAGATATTTCAGCTCCCACACCATTTACAAGTGCAGAAACGGAAGCTCAGAGACATTATATGATCAGACCCAGGTTATCCACCTGGAAAAAAAAAAAAAAGATAAATGGGACTTGAATCCAAAGACTATGCTCTCTAAAAGCTTCCTCTAGCATCTTCCAGACCATTATTTGCCTCTTATGGCTGAGAGATTAATGGTGACATAAGACCTGCATGGTGATTTCTTAAAGAAAACAGACTCAGAAACATGATCCAATGTGGAACTTGGAATTCTTTTCTTGGAGGAGGCTACCAGGGGTCCGGTCGAGGGCTTGGTGCATAGTAGGCCCTGCCCCGGGATAGAGGAGGCCTGGGAGTTTGCCCTTGGTGTTATGAGCAAACGCCTTTCCTTATCTCAGTTCTCACATTGGCCACACCAGTGGGTGCAACCCCAGGATTGCTTTAAGAGCCACTCCCTAGGTTGAGATTTGATGGCTCGATAGTCAAGAGAGACAGACGTGAAGAACAAACAAGTGGAGGAAAAACCAAAAGTCTGACAGAGATCAGAACTAAATCACAAGATGGTAGGGCTGTGTAGGTGGAAGGGTGAGGCCATGCCATAGAGCCAAGGGAAGGACGGACGGTCATTGGCAGCCCGGGGCCTCTATTCAAGGAGGAAGCCGCCAAATCCCAGGGGATTGGGGATGCCAAGTGTTGATCTGAGATTTTTTTTAAAAGCAAAGGACATTTTCCTCTCTTAAGCACACATCAAAGCAGCAGAGGTCCCACTGCCAAAACAGCCGGATTGTCTCCATAGGCGTTCAGACCTGGCATGTCTGACACACGGAAGAAGGTGTCTCAGATGAGCAAGCCCAGAAGCTCTGTACAAATAGGCGTTCCCAGCAATAATGAATGTGCCCTGTGTGTTTGCAGGGTGAAGGCAGAGGCTATTGGCAGGGCTCCAGAAAAAGGTGTATCTAGCAACAGAGCTCTGGAATCCTCCAACCCCAGGACCGGAAAGACTTTCAACTATAAACGTCTCTCACTTCCCCATACCCCACCCAAGACACCAAAGTAACATCTGGCTGAAGTAATATTCTGCCACGGCACTCAGATCCACTCAGGACCATGGACCTCAGGCAGGACACGTCCACGTCTTCCATGAGCGCCGCTAATGATTTCCCGAAGCTTCTCTGCTGCTGAGGTCTTACCGCGGGACTCCAAGCCACCCACGTGGGCAGCCAGAAGAGACTTTGTCAAGCATGATTGGACCATGCTGTGTCCTTCAACAGCTCCCTGTTGTCCTAAACTGCCTAACTAAGCTGGGAGGGCCCCACACCAGCGGACCCAGCTGGACCCTCTTGCCTGATGACTTAGTGAGTTTAGAAAAAGGACAGTGTTTCCACCTGTGACATGCCCATTATCAGCAACAGGCTTCCACTCGTCACGTCACTCCTGCCCTGCCAGAGCATACACCTATCCCTTCCCCCAGCATGCACCGCTTTGTTTAGCTGTCTGCTTCCCCATTGGATGGTCACAATGTCATGTCACCGGTTCCAGGGCACTTTCCTTGCATCCCGCTGTGCTTCCAGGCCACAACTCATGAATTGTTTGTCTCCGCTCCCCAAGTAGCACTAAGCTCCTTGAGAACAGGGACTAGGTCTCTCTTAATCGCCAGGATCTAGTACTGCGTTTGATTCATAGTGGGCACGTTTCGTGATGGATGAATGGAAGAGCACCTCTTAGACACAGGGCTCACCTCTTCCTAAAGCTGCCCCATTCTAATATGATAGAGTTCTGACTGCAAGAGGTTCATTCCAGAATGCTCAGCCCGTGGCCTTGCAGATTTGCAACCTACAACAGACATGGTTGTGTGCGGGTGTGGAACACAACTCTGTACAAGAAGCCTTCTTTCAGAGATTCCAGATGGCTTTGTTAGTTGCTTGATCCATTCATTTGTTGGGGGTGGGGTGGAATCTACTCTCTATGTCGTGTGACAACCCTGTCTTAAGTGCTGGGGATTCTGCAGGAGCATGTTCTGCACCCACCAGCCTCACCAGGGCTCTGCACTCAGCACCTGCACGCACCTGGCTCTTGATCAGTTCATCATCCCGCTGTATCTGGAGCACGTAGCCTGTCCGGCAGCTCACAGTGCACTGGGCGCCATGGTAGCGGTCGCTGCTGGAGCAATTGAGAAAAGCATTCTCCATGGCCAGCTCTGGGCAGTCGGTGGCCTCACAGGCGAAGTGCACACAGCTAGAGAAGGAAGAAACAAGAGGGTCAGAAGGGATTTCCTCCCAGGAAAACCACAATCCAGCTGGAAGATAGAGACTGAGCCTCTCTCCCCAGAATTCCTGGAGGCTGAGGCTAAGTGGAGGAAGGGTGCTGGCTGAGGTAGAGAAGACTGACTCTGGAGGCCATGCGTAAGATTTATCCTTACAAGCTCAACTTTGGAGACAGACAATCTAGGGTTCAAATTGTACCACTTGAAAGGGTTGTGGTTATCAGGTTTCAGAAGTCGTGGAACCTCAGTTTTCCCATTTAAGAAATGGGGATCATTAGGATTATAGCAACTATTTATTGAGTTTCCTATCTCTCAGCCACTGGGTTGAGTGAAAACCTCTTTGTTTTTTATAAGAGTAAACACCTTCAAGGGTCATGGGGAGGATTAAACCGGTTAATTCAGGAAATACACATAGCAGAGTTCCTGGCACATAATCAGCACTCAATAACTGGTTGCTAATTTTATCAATACATTTGTGCTCTCTTCTCTAGAAGCTGTGTGACTCTGGACAAGCCAAATGTCTCTCTAGGATTCTGTGTACCTTCAAGTTCAGCTGACCTCATAGAGCCATGAGACTCAAGTGAGGGAAGTAAAAGTCTTCCGTACCTGCGAAGCAACTGAAGAATTCTTAGTAAAGTTGTACAGCATGCTCTGCACCTTGCTATAATTGCTGTCCCTACTTTTTCTGCCAATCTGAATCCTACCAATTCTTGGAGGCTGAGTTACCTGTAATTGCTATAGGAAACTTTCCCTTTGTTCCCCAAGTGAGCTCCCTTCCAAGCATTCTGCCGTTCTTTCTCTGACAAAAGTGTTTCATGCTGAATGCATTGAAAACACAGGGCCTGGGGACCCACAGGACTGCAGTCTGTGTCAGGCTTTAAAGATACGAATGCAAACAACATCAACCCCTGTGCCTGGATGATCTTCCCCCTTGCGTTACAGCTGTGCTGACTGTGGGAACATAACTCACTGGTGGCTTATGCACAAGAGCTCACTCTTTGCTCACAAGCACCTTGTGGGCTAAGTGCGCCTCACTTCAGAGTTGGAAAAATTGAGGGCTAGCAGGATTAAGTCACCTATTTATCTTCCCACCCACATGTGTGACCCCAGAGTCCTTGCTGTTAACCTTGCCCATGGTCCAGGACTAGAATATCCTGAGGGCAGAGGAAAGACCTTTTTCATCTCAGTGTACTTTGCATTGTGACTAAAAATGCCTGGCAACTGATGTTGCCTAAACTGAAAGAAACAAACAGGGTGGTGCCTTGCAATGGCTCCTAAGAATCTGAGACTTTATTCCAAACAGAGAAGGCTTCTTACGCCCTGTTCTGTCTGACTGCTGCTGCTTCTACCCCAGCACCTGGCCTACTGTGAGCAGAGTCTTGCATTTTGGCCTACCCGTGAGCTAGATTTGCATTCAGAATCTGGAGACTCTCATTTTCCTATTTCCATCCAGGATACCGGAAAACATTTTTAACACACCAGATTCAGAAGAGCTTCCCAATATTTTCCTTGGTGCTGTTTCAGGATATCCCACTGAGCCTTCCCCGCCGTACACTACCTACTGATCAAAAGTATGGTGAAAGCCAGGTGTGTTGGTGCAGGCCTGTCATCCCAGCGGCTTGGGAGGCTGAGGCAGGAGGATAGCAAGTTCAAAGCCAGCCTCAGCAACGTAGTGAGGACCTAAACTTACTGAGACCCTGTCTCAAAATAAAAAAATAAAAAGGGTCAGAGGATGTGGCTCAGTGGTTAAGCACCACTGGGTTCCATCCCTGGTTACAAAAAAAAAAAAAAAAAAAAAAAATTTCTAGCAAAAATAGAGTAAAGGAAACTGAGCTAACAGCCTCCAGGACAAATCACAAACAAATTCCTTTTCCTTTTCTTGAATACGCAGAGAAGGACAAGCATTTAATTCTGGGCTCAGGCCCTCCCTGGGGTGGCTTTGTATTGGCCACACACCTCTTTTCTGAAAGGCAGGGCCACTGCCATTAAATGGCGCTGGCAGAACTACTTCCATTCTCCACCCTCTCTTCACTCCTGACAGCCCGGTGCTGTGCCACGTGGAGACCTCCAAGAGGCTGCAACTGCGGGCGTCCACACAAGGGCTTTGACCAAACAATGCATCTGTTCACGTTGTGGGAGCACTGGGGGAAGAGCCACATGGTTCCAATTTAAATAGATTTACTCCATGAGCTACCAGCTACCGAGCTGTTCTTGGGACCTGCGCCTTACAGAGTGGACAGCTCACTCTGCTCCCAGGAGGCACTGGGGCTCCTGCCCTGTTGAAGACCCAGAGAGGAGAAAGCACTTTCTTCTCTGGGCTCTGAGCCATCGAGGGGAAACCAGCACCCCGCTTGTTCTGTCACATTAAAGATTTTCCTCGTGGGAAAGGGGAACACGGAAACGCTTCATTTCCTTGGATGGAGAAAAAACGAAAGGCTTCTTGATCAGGGAAATCTGAGTGCACGTCCTAGCTCTGCCATTTATCAGTTATTCTACCTTGGAAATTCACATGACATCCTGAGCCATGTGTTCGTCCATTCAACAGCCCTCGACTGGGGGCCTCACCAAGTCAGGCATTCTTGGAGGGAACGAGTAAGTGGATGGGCATTTTGACCTCTGCTGTCCTGTCAGTTGAAAAAGGTGGTCCTTTGTATTTAAAAAGGGAGGACAGTGCCAAGGAACAGTAACCAATGAGAGCATTTTGGATAGTGATGTGCACCATAAGACATTGAAACAAAGTAAAATTATAGAGGTTGATTATTTGTGTTGGGGGTGGGGACTTTTTATGGAAGGATCCAAGAAGAAGGGGCATTTGAACTAAGACCTGGGTGAAATGAAGGGACCAGGCATACAAAGTGTTGGAGCAGAGGGTGTCTCAGGCAGACTGAAATGCTGGTGTGATGATCCAGGACAGGACAGGGTATGGTGTGTTTGTAGAAAGGGAAGGTGAATATCTGAGAAATGCTTTGGAAACAATGAAGCTCCCCGCAGGTGTTCTCTTGACTCTGCCTCTTTCTGCTATAGAAAGAAAATATTCCCAGGTCTCAGAAATGACTAGACCAAAAAAGTTTCATGTGCAGGTAGGAATGGGAAGCAGTGGATTAATTAATCAGTTTTCTTGGTTGCAGGACTTCTCAGAACCTTGACTATTCAAATACATATGGACAATGTCCAGAAAGAAGCAAAGGGTTGAAGGATTTTTCCAAACCCTTATACCTTTCTTTTTTCGTGAGACATTTCTTAGGACTAAGGTCTTCTAGAGCACAGTTTGGAGAGTGAGTCCTCCTTGGTTTTTAGGCACATCTGACCGCACTTACCTTGCAGACTTACAAACAGAAAGAAAGGGGGAGAAGGAGGTGATCTGCACCAGGAATTTGCCACTGGGTCTCACCCACATCATCATATCTGCAACCACACAGTATCTCCTTCAGGTAGTGAAATTAGTCCTATTTGGAATTCAGAGTTCTGAGCTGCTTGCTCAGGGCCACTCAGCTTAAACAGAATTCTGATAGAGATCTGCCAGTATGCTCCCTAGGTCCCCATTCTCTCCTTACCATCCTGCTGGTTGGAAAAGGTTGTGGGAATGCACTGTTCAAAAAAGGTAAAGGAATGCGAGTTGCTGGGCCTGTTCCAGGTGCAGGCAGCGGCTCTACTCTGCCCCTACTCCAATTGG